CATAAGAGCAGTTGGGGTCGTGCAGGTACCAGGGCAAAACAGCCATTTATGGACGAGAGCTGGACCTGTTAAGTGAAGCAGCGGAATCAATAATGTTTATCATAGATGGAGATAAATGGACGAGGGACACAATTTCAATTTAGTTACTTACACTACGGGCTGGGATTTGATCGCAGCCGTTTTGGGAAATAATAATGCCGAGCAAACAGATTTCCCTGCTCACTTTGGTCCATTCATGCTATGCCTTGTTTCTGTCTTTCACAATATCACTGTAATTTTCATGTCAGACAATTGAAAATCTACATTTCCCGAACACGCAATACTCTCGATGGGTTTTAAGAGCGATGCTGATCTAGCCCTAAAGCCACAGAAAGAACTGATTCATAACTATGCTACTATAGTACCATGAAGAGGCGTTTTGGAAATCATTATAATAGCCACTTTTTTATGTTTATTGTTTTTTTTCTCTATTCAAACCAATTTTTCATGTCATGATATACATTTAACACCATGTTTATGTTATTTATACAGTACATCCGACTTTCTATATTTTTTGCACATAAAATGGTCTTAAAATGATCTGTAATCTGTAATATTTTAAGTGCCCGTCTTATTCGCTTCTTAAACAACTTTATTTCTCAACCAATTTCTAAATATGACTTCAAATGACACATGTCGCATCTTAGGACTACAATACCCATCATGCCACTTAAACCAGATACAGTCTTCATTATTGGCCATAGTGGACAGCATAGAAGTGTGCCAGTACTGTTACCCACACACTTATGAACATACACTATTTCCTCGGCTGTAATTGACTGAACGCATCGATACTCGCTGGAAAAAAACACAGGGTCCTCTGTCTGCATCTATTGATCGCCCCTCTCCTCCCTGAGTCCTCTCTCTCTCCCTCTCCTCTGCCGCTGGATCTTAATTACGCTGCTTTTTACCAGGCTGCCCTTTTCACAAAGCACACGTCCCGATCCATACATCAAAATTAATGAGAAAGAACTGAGCGGTGAGTCACATATTGAGAAGCACAAAGACTAGACTTTTTTGGGCCATTTTTGACAGACTTGCCACCAGTGCTGCTGCTTCCAGAACACTGAATTAAAAGAAAAATGATACATGATTGTGTTCATAAAAAATAAATAAATCCAAAACGGACAAATGGGGCTTGTGCAGCTGTAGGTAATCATACTGTATGAGTCCACACAATATGGAATCCCCAGCTCCAGTAGCTTTTATTCCAAGATTGTCCTGCTTTTTTCTCCATCCATCCACCTTTCCATCAACTCTGCCACTCTTCCCTGTCCCTACTGAAGGAAAACAGCCCCACAGCATGATACTGCCACCCCCATATTTGACGCAGGGGATGAGGGTGATGGGCTGGGTTGGTTTTGAGCCATAAAAGTACATGGCTCTTTCACTTCACAGTTGTATGTTACTTGGTCCTTCTCTAAATTATATATAAAGACAAATCTTTGGTTGTTTCCTATAACAAGACAGAATGTGTGAGTTTCATTATGTATCATTACTTTTGCAAGGCACTGAATATGCATATGCACTCAAACATAACGACCCAGTGACAGGGGCCATGCTGAGGAGATGATGGCCATGACGTTATGAACGACCAGAAGATTGGATACAAACGTCTCTAGGTCATAAGTGCTCCCAAAGCCCTATTCTTTTGTCTCCATCAATTTGTCTGATTTTCTGCCTCTTGGCATCTTCTAATCTTCTCTTCTGTTTGTGGACAAAAAATGACTTTTTTATGGTCACAGTTTTATAGACTCACGACTGCACCAGCCTCTCCATTCTTCAACAATTGTCCTCTAGTGAACTAGGAAGAAAGGGGCTCCTAATCGCGCCGTTTCACCGCTCGCACGATCCATCAATCACAGCTGTGTGCGGCGCCTCCGGAATCACCAAACAAAAGCTGCTAGTCCTGACAAATCAGTGTCCACAACTTCTCACGTGGTATACGACTTTGGCTTGGGACTAATTTGCATTGTTTTCAGTATAAAACATCTGAATAAACATGCAGAGTATTTCAGGATGATATTTGGACTCAGAACAATTGCCACATATCACAGAAAAACATTTAGCCAAATTGAACCATCACAACAAATACATTTAATAAATACATTCTCGAAAGACATTAAAACTTAAAAAAATCTACTCATAAACTGCATATACACCTAATGTCCTATTATTTGGGGCCAATTTGACAGTGCATGCTAATATTTAATCCACATTTAATCCCAGATCCTAAACGTTGTAGTCATAATGTAATAGTAAACGAAAAGAATCCGAGAAGATAATTCTAAAGTCGAAATGTGTGTTGGATTTTACAGAAGCGACTAAAATCCCCAAGGCCTTGACTAAGACTCTCAGTGCAAACTGTGTGAATATCTCCTATTCCCTCTCTTATTATCACCAGCCACATCTTTAAAAAGCACATTATCAATACTTTTTACCTTTCGCACAGAGAACTCAGAATTCTCCCTATAATAAACCTGTGTGCCTGTCCCTTTGTGCTTATACAGACACCTTCAACATGTGAACTCTCTCTCTCTTCGCATTCACTGCCGCCCAATCTCTACCAAACGCCTTATCTTTTGGAATAAGAAAAAGCTGCTCGTTGGGATGGCACATTGTGAGTGTGTGTGTGTGTGTGTGTGTGTGTGCGCGCGAGGGAAAGGCAATGTGCATTAGTGCGATTACAATATCAACCCAGTCCAGATGGAGGCAGGAAAATAAACATTGAGCAGGGCATTCACGTCACACATAGGAACAGCGGAGGAGAGGGAGAGAGATGGAGAGAGAGGGAGAGAGAGAGAGGGATGCTTGTCTGTCTGTCTGTGGATGGAAGATACACTTGGAGAAAGTTAATTAGTGACTCAATCCGGGTCCGTGCGCACATTGCAGACGGCTGGAAGGCTCCTGTCTGTGTTTGCGGCTCACATGTTGAACTGTGTCATCCAATCAGCAGCGACAACTGATAACCTGCACAGCTGTCTCTCTAATTAATAACATAGGCGTCATCTGCATCCGGAAAGAAAGGAGAGCTGTCGCTTTCTACACTTTTTTAATTTAATGTTGTACCGTAATGTAATGTTGTATTATCATTGCTATGCTATAGAATTCAGCATACCAAATAATACTATGGCTGTGATCTTTGAGAAGCGATTAGAAAATGATAGATGCAGATTGGATTAAGTGCGTATCCCGGGTCTCACTCATTGCTATAAGACATTGCTCACAAGCTTTAAAAATACCATGTTTTTTTCTTACCATGTGTGACTCTTCTCAATTAAACTCATGTTCCTTCTTTTTTCTATGTGAGTTACTTTGAGGCAAACCTAATAATCTAATCAGAATTGCAACCCTTTTGTAACTTCTCGTCCACATCCTTTAGGTCCATCACATTCTTGACCCCAACAGGTTCAACAGCTTTCACATTATCGAGAATTTTATCGAGAAGACTCCGATGAAAGAAGTTTGTAGTGTTCACAGTTGACTTTGACATTAAGAAAAGGCCAGCCCCGCTTACAAGTCACAGCCACAATAAAACAAAGACCTCGACCTCCTCTCGGCGCACACCACCGCCGCCGCCGCCTCTGCTGCTCTTTCATGCCTGATGAAACTCAATAAGCGCAGGAGAGAACTGCCCTCTGCTGATAACCATCAATGGAGCCATCGATCTGAGAGGGCGAAGTGTGTACGGCTATGAACGCTCACACACTTCATCTATTATTCACACAGGGACTTGTAAGAAACGAAAGAAATAACCCAGGGTCTTAAAGGAGAAATAAGCCCTGTCATTTAAGAATCTCCACCGGCTCATTCTTGCCTCCTGTCTTTTCTAACTTAACTTGTTGTTTTAGCTTGAAACATTTGAATTCCGTGTACCCACATTTACAGTGCATGTCTATGTTATAAATGTTATGAACCAAATCGCATTGCTACTGAATACTTTTGCCTTTCCTTCTGTATCACTTCTTCACTGTACTAATCTGGAGGCAGGCCAAACATCTGTGTCACGAAGCACTTGGCATTGGCTCACATTTTTATAGGAGATAAAAAAATTGTTTTTCTCTCCCTATAACATTGTTTTATTGACATTGAATTGCAAGGACTGTTAAAGCACAAATAGAAGTCAACCATTACTGTGGCGTGTGTGTATGTGTGTGTGTGTGTGTATGTGTGTGTAGCAGAATGTGTTTGACCCCTCTCTCTATGGAACCGAGGGAACAGGTGTGAGGTAATAGGGTCTACAGATGGGCCAGGGATGCTGCAGAGGCTGGACCACAGCACAACAACCCAACACGCACTCATATACTGAGGGATGGGAATGATAACTCCACACTGCACTTTGATTCATTCACTTCATCATGCGCCTTGTTTACCTTTCATTTACTCCACCGTGTTTCTATGGCGTCTTTATCTCCCCAAACACACACACACACAACAGGTAATAGTCTTTTCAGTCAGCGTAAATGGAAGCCCCACCACCGCGGCTAAGGAAATATAACACATGCCACGATAAAGGATGTGCCAATTTAAGCACCATGACCACTGCAGTAAACTATGGTGAAATGAAAGCAAGTGCAAACTGGCGGCAGAGGTAATGCCATCTCATAAACACAAACACACAACAATAAAAATGTTTCATCAATTCACATTTTAAGGATGCAACAATAACAACATCTGAGACATCTGTGGAACATCAGAGTGAGATAAAAATGGGATTTAAAGTCTGGATGTCTGACACTTTTCTAAACGGGCGTAGAAAACACTCTCATAAATGGTTGTTTTAATACATTTGATCCGCAAGATTACATTTACAAACACAACTCAACATAATAATCATAGAAAAACCTGTTAATGCGTAAAACTGTTGACAAAGCCATGCATGCCCAGCGCGTGTCCACGTTTGTAACTATAATAACTTAAAAGCAAACAACACATCTTTCACAAACAAAAAGAGCACTTACACTGCAAGGAGGTTGAAATTCCCACCATGCGGCACGATGATGTGAGGGGGCTTAATAATTTCCAGTCCTGGTGAGAGTCCACGCTCGCTCCCCGTCTCTGATCCCCGGGAGCGCTGTCTCTCCTCTGCGTGCGGCTCTCGGAACAATCAGGGGAAAACGCGCTCACGCTTCAGTAGCGGTCAGTGACGGGCGGCTGCAGGGGTGGGATGCGGACAGAAGATTGCAGTCTAGTTTCCCCGCCTGTGTCCTGCCAGAGTGAAAGCTGTTCTGTTGAGTTTCATTCACGAACAAAGTGCGAACGAACGAGGCGCTGGTGCGTGGATGCTGGGCGCTCTGGCTCTTGGCGGCTGTGCGCAGCGGAGCCAGGTGGCGGGGGGCGGGGCCTCAGAGCGCGCATCTGTTTGTCCTAAAACAGGTTGGAAAATGCACTGCAGGGTCAAGCAAAGACCAAAGGGTATTTACTATTGTGATTTGTTACAGTGGCCGCAGCGATGTCCACCATGGGGCTATAGGATGATGACAAAGTGCAATCTAGACTCAGTGAGAAATGGCAACATTTTCACTAAATAATTACAATAATAGTATTAGGGTTATAATCAATAGTATATAATCAACTACATAATGACAAAGATGTATACCTATCTAATAGTTGTTCATGATATTGGTGATTTCACTCTGATACAAAACCCACACAACAAAGTCATTCTCATTCATACAGCAACAACAATTTATTCTCGCATAGCCCTAAATCACAACAGAAGTAATCTCAGAGGACTTAACAAAACCATTGAAATCACCAAAACAGATCAGAGAATCAACTGTTAAGACACAACATGTAAACATATGTATTGGTCCATAGGGAGAGACCAATGTCCATGAATGTTAATAAATGTCCATGACTCATTCTCATTCATCGGGACCAAAAACTTGAAGCAAAACAGAAAAACTGATCACGCCCTCAGTGGATCTATTTGTTTCCACTTCTACATTTTGACCAGACAAACTGAAATGTTGCAGTATGTCTGTTCTGTATCCCAAATTCTTTCTCCAATAACCTCACAATCAGCAGACAGCGTGCCGTGGACACGAAGCAGCAGCCTGTGATAATGTATGGACAGCAGCACACTCGTGATACATGTTGCTGCCCACACCCACACTGCTGCCCTCTACATCGCCTCTGAACAGTGCACTCAGCCGGCCTGCAGTAACCTGAAGGCAGACTTTCCTTTGCCATCTGGAAATGATTTGAGCCACAGAGAGCACAGGCAGAAGCTACACTAATAACAACTGGCCCACTCGAGTATAGCTCAGCTGAACAAGTCATGCGCCGTTGACTGTTCATAACATCTCATAAACATCTCACTCCAGTCCAAGGACATGGGATGGAGCCGGGCATGTGCTGGTCATTACGACAAGAGGCTACTACCTTGTCCAACAGTCACAGTTTGGGATTGAATGATTTTAGCAAAACGACTCCCTCAATGTCTGAAATAGAAATAGTACGCGACATCAGGGGCGACAGTGGCTGAGTTGGTAGAGCCTGAAGGTCGTGTGTTCGAGCCCACCAAGAGACCTATACTTCAGGACTCCCACTGATGTCTGCTGTCATTGTGTCCTTGGGCAAGACACTTAACCCCACTTTGCCTAAAGCCCTCAGTGACAGATCAAGGCTGTGTTGTCACTGACAGAGCAGCCAGCCTTCTGTGGACTCACCCCCTGCAGGAGGATCAGTGAGGGGCTGGTGCTCTGAGGATTGGGTGCAACTCTGACTCCTACCCCCCTGACGCAAAAATGGATTAAGAGGAAGAAGATGGATGGATAAAGAATAGAAAGCTCTGATCTTGGGTCATAGCTTCATAAATGTGTGCATATGCATTTATTCTAGCCGGGTCGTACCACACCATAGTACAAATTACATTTCGTGCTCCATTGTACCCCGTTAACAGGTGGGAGGGGTTAACTCCTTTTGCAAATTGAAAAAATTGCATCTGAGTTTACCGTCACGTAGGAAATGCGCCCAAGTGAGTCGTTAGCATTTAGCATTTAGCCTAGCCATCTCCTTTGCCGCTAATGGAGCCCTTGGGGAGAAGCGCCACAATTTTTGCCAGCGGTTAAATTTGCTAAACATTCCTCTTGCTCCGGCTTCAATTTCTTGATAGATCCAGCCCGGATTACATTACTATCGCATTTTTCGCCATTACCAACCTGCAACCTGCCCGTTCGGCGCAAACTCTTGACGTCACCCACATCTAACTACAACACCTGCCTCCCGCGCTTTCTTATTGGTCAGATGGAATTAAACCGATTGTAATCCCAAACACAGGGACCAGACCCAGACGTTACATGCAGGGAAAGGATGATTGAGAGGAGTGTACGGATGGATAAGGCCAGGCTACATTTATCCAAATCATAAGAAAAAGTTAGAAGAAACAGTACTATTCTCAAGCACAAAGATAATTTTGCAACTGTATCATCAGCTTGTTATAAAGATAAAGAAATACATGATTAATATGCATTGATAATAAGTATAATAAGGAGTCACATGTCACAACAGCAAAATCTCTCTTGAAAAACATATGTAGTATTTCTCTTGAGTGGCATCGTGACTTTTACCTGTTATTTTTTGGGTGCGATTTTGGCCTGCACTTTGCTTATCTTTCCTGACCCTAATGATCATGATCATATCTCCCCCAGAGGAACACTTCCTCCTGTGTCTCCTGCCTAATGCTCCGAGAACAGAGAGTGCACTATCCACACTGTTCAGATAGTTCCCGGTGCTCTCTCTGCGGGGGGAAGATGATGCCATTAACGGCAATTGTTAGCAACTTTGCCATTGTGCATTACGTTCTTTGACTTCATCTGTGCCTCTGCGCGCCTCTGTCTTCATGCAGGATCCAGCAGTGGCTTTTGCATTGTGCTCTCAAATGGAATATGGACACACAGACTGCAGCACTCTCGCTTGCACAAAATGAAGACTCCATTTGCACTCTGTTTCCTTTGTTGAGTGCGCACAAAGGCATTGGCTATGGATATACGTATATGGGCTGAATAGATAAAGAGACAGATTGAAATGGAGGTGAGAGATAGAGAAGGTACATGTTTAAAGCTCTCATTCAGACGCGAGACAGGTCAGAGGTAGACTTGAGTATTACCGCCTTGAGATTTGATGTTGCAACTTTCAATAAGCTTCAGTTTGTCTGCATGGTTGTCAAGTGTGGACCTTCATTCATGCGCTAATGCAAAAAATATCCTGTGCATTACCGTCATATATTTAAGCTTTTAACCTGGAGTTGCAACTGTCCTCATGAAAGAATCGGTCAAGGTTTTATTTGTTGCAACTCTTCTCTGTCTCACTCACACACCGCTGGCATCATTGATAGAGATGCAGAGGTCTTTCAAGCTTTTTTAAGCTCATTAATACTTGACGTACGCATTTCTAAAATTGGTTAAAGTGTGCTCTTTACAAGTGCATGCCTGTGTTTGCATATTACAGTAGAATAAATAGATTTAGGCACCTTTTTCATACACAGACATTATTTAAGATCATATTTCTAAGAGCGATTAGAAAAGGTGTCTAAATATTGCATGATTTGATGTTAAATACCGCAGTAGCTTGTCCTGGGATGACCAACGATCACTCTAAAGACCTGTGCAATCGAAGTGAACAACCCCACAAACTGGGAGGTTATCGGAGGTTGTCTGTCTGCGCCTATTTGTGGTCCATTCTCTGGGAGCGACTTCTCTCATGACAATCACACTGAAACATCTTGACAGCCGGAGGCGCTGGAAAAGGCGTTGAGGAAACCTGTGCGGGGCAAAGAGAATGGCCCAATGATCTGTGTGTGTGTGTCCTGTGATAACGGTGTGTGAGAGCAGGAAACACACTGCGCCTGTTGTTGCTGCAGGGGTTCCTGGAAGTCAGCCGCCCCAGCGCTTTTTCGGCGACATGCAAAGGCACACACACACACACACACTCACAGGATACCTCGCCTCCAAAAGGGAAAAACATGCTGCGTCCGATACATGCGCACACGGACCCGCTGACTTCCTGCTCTCGCTGCCACCTACGGGGCGGCCACCTGCGACACACAATCACAATAACTTCAGCGGAGGGACAAATATGAAGGAGTTGTCAATAAACACCACAAAAGCTGTAATTATGTGGCATCGGATCAACATACAGCTTTGGCCCAGAGGCAGAGAGAGAGCGTCAACATCCTCCACCGCTCCACTGAGCATGACCCGAGGAGGGGAAGTGGTCAGGTGTTATGTGAAGAGCAACATTAAAGACAGGTCAAGAGGGGAATGACCTGAGATTTGAGGTAAGGAAGAAGACATACAAGGGTTTCACAGACTCACAAAGTATCTATATCAAACTCTATATTCTTGCTTATATATGTAAAACATCTGACTACGCCATATGTGTCCTTTCCAGCGCACCACCTGCTTGTCTCCTTGAATATAGGTTTGTTTGGAGTATTTCAAAGGTTCTACAATATGGCATTCAATTGATTTGTGTTAAAACAGAATCAAAATTATTATGTATTTTGATTGTAAATAACAGGAAGTCACGCACACTAGGAATTTGCTTTGGTATGTAGTGCAAACAAGTTATACAAAGATAGAGTATATATATATGTATACTGTAGGCATGCATAAATAGTCTTGATAAAGTCTGATATATATATATATATACAGTAAATATACACAATAGACATTCAACAGAGCCGATTAATGGACAATAATATGAAAATAGAATCTAACTCTAGCGCCATCTTTAGCATGGCGCCGTAAAGATGGCGCCGTGGCAAGAGCTCTGGTGTGTGCGCACACTGGGGTAGTCTTGCACAGTTTTTCCAATGTGGTTTTACTGCAAATGGCAAATAAATGAATCTGAATCTGAATCTAGTGTCAAAGAAACACATATATATAAAATCTCTACATCTGGTATAAAGTACTGTGTATTTTAGTGCAAGCAATATATAAAGTAGTATGTTTACATCTGTACATTAGCAGCAGTATGTTTAC